TATATGGCATGTAAAGGATTTACCAAGAGGCTTACAATGGCCAGCTACAGAATCAGTGTGGAAAAATGCAAAACAAACATCTGTGTGCTGGAGACCCAAAAGATCCAGTCAAATTTGAAGACCTGGCGCTTACTACAAGTCCAATAAGGGTCTGTATCAGGAAGCTAAAACATCTGCACTGGAATCCTGGAGATGGGTGTCCAAAAGCAATGCCAAAGACTGGAGTGCCTCCAAAGAAGCAGAACTGAGACTTTACTGCTGACTTCATTCCCTTTTAATTTCATTCGGGCTGCAAGCCTATCAGTTGAGGTCATCCACACCCAGGGTGGGTCTCCCATCTCCAGTAAATCCATCATTCAGATACACCCAGAACTGGGCTAAATTAATCAGCTAGACAGTTCTTATTCAAGCTGACATCACAGTTAACTATTATTGCTCATGAATTGGCAGAAACCAGGAAAAACCTGTAGAAGTACATCTTGAGAGGTTAGATGTAAGGGGGACTTAACCTAGAGATGGATGAGGAGAATTCATTGATATGGTAGCCTTCTTGCTTCACTCAGGATTTAACATCCTGGTGAGAACATGTGGATTCAGCCCTAACATGCTTCAGGGATGACATCTTTAAGTTAGGCCATGGGAATGTCTTATAATGTAGTAAATATAATAAATTAAACAGTGGATAAAATGACCTTGGAAAAGTATAAAGGAAGGGTCAAGTGACTTTATTACTGAGTTCAGACAATTGTCCATCTATCTATGTTCCTGAGGAAGCACAGAAGTTACTCTTTTTATTAAAGCAATAAGAAATACCTAGACAAAGAGGACACTGGTGATTTTCCCTTGTACAGGTGACCATTCCTTGTGAACTGGGGTTGACTGTAGGATGTGCTCCTGTGGGAGTAGCTAGGCTCCTTAGCATCAATCAGGGTGATAAGATTCTACAATATCAGAGGCCAAGTGGCAATTCCTAAATGATAAGAGCAAAGTATACATGCCTTATGGCCTAAATCTAGATGCCCTCCCAAAACTTCATGCACTCATTTTGGGAGTGGCCAGATCATGGGTATGTAATACTGGACTTGTTCACTGATTGGTTTTGCATAGCTTTGGGTGCAGATGATGGATGTACTAAAGAAGGAAGTCCCATCCTCGGTGTGGATGGCAGCAACAAATATGTGTGGTGTCTGGTGGATCACACAGGGAAAGAAGGCAATCTTTCTGCCTCGTGCCTGCCCCACCATGAACTGTCTCTACTCTGTACCTGCCCCTCTGTCATAGCACCCTGCCTTGGAATCAGCTACATATGAACTGAAACCTCTGCAAACTGTGAGCTGAAATAAACTTTCCCTCCTTTAATTTGTGAGTATTGGGTATTTAGGTGTGAGAAATGAGAAAGTAACTAAGACGACATGATTGATATCATGGGCAAAACAGGTAGAAGATTCATTGACCCTCAGGTACCTGTGACAGTGGCCCAAAGACAAGGGTGTTTCTAGTGAGACAGATAGACAATCAACTAGGGTTGGCTTGATTTGTAAGACTGAGGGAAAGAAACTGGCACCAGCACCCCTCAAGATGAATCCAGTTGTCTAGAGAATCATGATATGATTACTCCCCTCCCCCTCCCAAAGTGCCTAATTTGAACAGATAAAGCTGCTGGCAAATTTGTTTCGCTGGTTCTCTGACCTAGTGGTAAAAACCACTAGGGTAGAAAATGTCAAGTGAGAACCTCTGAAACTATCCAATCCCAGTCCCATCAGACAAGAGAGTATAGGCAACTCAGCTGAATATTCATAAAGAGAATTGATGCTAACTGCAGACAACAAGTGCACATGGTATTCACCAGTATATCCCTATAAGGTAGCATATATACAGCCCTTGAAAAAAATTAAGGGACAGACCATCATGCAAGAAAGCAGACTCATAAACTCGACCAAGTGGTAATTCCAAACTCAGCTGCTGAGCTAATAGTGATATCTTTATTGAAATGAATCAACATAGCCTCTGGCACCCAGTGTGACGCTATTGTTCTGGTGAATATGTTCCTCTCAATTTCTCACCAGTAAGCAAGATTAAAAGCAAGTCTCCTTTAAGTGGAAATACACATTGATAGTCTCACCAAAGGCTATGTGATGCCTCTTGGGTAACGTCACAAAATAGTCAGTGGGAATGTTCACTGTCTTAATCTTCCATAGAGGATAAAACCCTCACAAATCCTCTCATTTGCTCCATCAGTGACTTTCTATGAGCCCAGTGACATGGGACATGCTTGTACAATATCTCTGAGGTAAAGACAAGATGTTAGATCTTGTTATTTCATTCCCACTTTCTATCACAAACCATCCTTAAATTTAGAAATGTGAAATACCACAGTATTATTACACTCAAGGATCCTGTGGGCCAGGACTTTGGGTAGAATATACAAGAATGCTTTGCTTCTACTCTGATTCTGCCAGATTTTGTAAACTGGGATTCCATGATAGAATTCAACCCTAACTTACTTGAAAAACAATCCCTCTCCTCTGCATCTAGAATAGTCTTAGTAATGCACCAAATATAAGAGAACTAAGAACATAAGTCAACCAAATAGTTGTCTTTTGTATTCAGATGAAGAACTCAAGTTAAGAAAGACTGACTAGAGCCTAGTGAGGAAAATTCAAGTAGCTGAGAGCAACTTAAACTTGACTGGAACCTTCTGGGGTCATCTGCACTTGTTATTAGCTTGTAGTAAAAGCTTACAGACCCAAGGGGTTGGGACTGGACCCCTTCCCTTGATGAAGTAGTCTCAAAGATTATTAGGTGTGTTAAAGCATGGAAAATCTTTTGAAATCCAATATAGTATATGTCTCTCTGGAAGATTGTTCTGACCCATTTATTGAGTGACTTGGAAGGCTGCTGTTTTTAAAAGTCTGAGGAAAACTGTACAAATTTGTACCATGGCACAAATGGCACGTCACTCTGTCTAAATAACTAGTAGAGCTCATGGTATTACTAGTTGCAAATAAAGACATGTGTATGTAGTTTCTGTCCAGTCCAATAGTTAGATTTGCAGTACAGATTCTGTGGTCCTGGAGTTAGGCCTTCCTTCTGCAGCAAAAAAACTCAATAGCATTTGAAAACAAGCTCCTTCCTGACCATGGGACATAAAATAATCAGACAGCCAAAGCTACCCCTGTTGAGCTCAGTATTACCCACCAAGTTGGTCACAATGGTGGGCAGAGAGAACAATAACCCACCACACAATAGAAGAAGGCACAATAGAAGAGATCTAAAGGGCACAACTCCATCCATCTATCTCAGATTCCCGGGTTATCTACTTCTCTAGCTCAGTTCATTACTAAGCACTTATAATTCCCTATAATTAACACAGGAGGGGAAAAAACCCTGAACTTGCCTCGTAGATAGGTTGCCTTAACAAGTTGGTGGTATCTACTACCAGACTACAGAGGTGGTTCTAAAGGACAGGGAAGGTCACTCCTCCCAGTGAATAATGCACTTATAGAGAGGGAAAACTGATCTGAATTAAGAGTATGCCTGGATGCCACTGGTAGTGGTGAGTGCTAGCTAGTAGGGTCAGAAGGCTGAAAGAAGCAAACTTGACATGCAAGATTAGAGAAAGTCATGTAGATGTAGATGTAGATGTAGATGTAGATGTAGATGTAGATGTAGATGTCGATGTAGTTGGCTGTGTGGTATAGGACACGTAACACAGGATAGAGATACATTGCACATCACAGTGCATCTCCTCTGAAAGTACAGCCCTGAATACTTGGTGACAGGATGTCTTGCCAGCCAAAGGTGTGACTGCAGAAGGGAGTTGGAGCAGGGATGGAGCTTCTGCATTGGAAGAAAGCCAACAACATGAATGCCATCTCACCAAGACTGATCTATCAGTTACTGTACTGAATGTCTGTCACTGGAAAGACTGACACGGACGTCTATGGTGTGCATATGAAATGGTACACATCCCTTAACAAGCCAATCACTTGATGACAAGTTTTTTATAGAGGGATCTGTGATTCACCTTTTGGAATAAGAACTTACTGGATATGAGTTTGTCTTCCTTCTCAGTGCCTCTGCCATCACTACCATCAATTTTACTTAACAATTCTGATATATTTGTACAGGTTGTTTGAGGACTTCCTTTGACCAGTTGCTGTTAGGGTCTGGAAGCCAAAAGCCAGGAAACGTTATTCTTCCTCCTTCTCTTCTTCCTCCTCTTTCTGTCTTCTCCTATTCCTGGAGAAGACAATCTCTACAATCCTAAGGGATTGACACTGTATGGAGCCCCATTTGACCACAGTAGAGACCAGTTCAATGAAGTGGCTTGTGTTGGCTTTTTCCTTAATGTCTCTCAATCCTCTACTTCTATTTCCCAAAATAAATCTCTACATTCCCTTACCTTTCTTACACTGGTTTTCTGAGAGAATTCAAGCTAAAACATTTTCACAAAATATGCTTTTTCTGTAAAGCTAGGGACCCTTGTGTTGTAGATCAAGCAATCTCTGCTCACATTGGCACCAACATATAGTAATCAGGCTCCTGCTTATGTATTTCAGAGGCTATGATAGGATTCTCTTCATGGCTGGGTATGCTGGACTTTAGATAGGCTGTCTAAGTGGCACCCTGCCTCGGGGACCTAGCTATAGAGTGACCAGGGACTGGTACAAGCTGCATCCACCCAGAGGAAGGAGTGACTATTCTTAATTTACAAAAGGGACTGTCAGCTTACTAAGTCATGAGCTAGAGAGGCATTTTCACTCAAGGAAGGCACAATTTTTTTCATCACCAGGAAATTATCCCCAGCATCATCACCAGCAAAAGTCCAGCATCCACCCACAGTCCTATCTGTGCCACTGACCTCTTAATGTTCCACTTCTTTTTCTTAAGTACTTAAATGTCAGAACACAGCTTAGTATATATTTTAGTCCTCAGGTTCTTAACAAGTTAGAAAACCATATATTTTTAACTTGGGAGAAACTTTAGAAATTGCTTACAAGTAGAGCAATGCCTCCATCAGACAGATGAAACTGATCAATCACCAGGTCTGCATTGCTTGCTGCTTCATGAGGCCAGATGTCAGGCTCCGCCCAGGGCATCATGTCACATCTCCAATCCAATTGTTTCAAGTAAGGAACCACTGTTAATGACTAAATGGCCCCATTCCTGAAAGCAATGTTATGAAGATGAGGAAAGTAAGAAAACAAAACTGTGCAAACATAAATTACATGTTTTTCCCTTGTGCAAGATCTTTGTGGAAGAGTTTTTGTCTTTTAGGAACATCAGACATCTTCTGACTTTACTTACTAGGCATGTATAAAATTCAGGACATGTAGTTGCATTCAGATCATCTCAACCTCTATTGAATACCAGGTCAAAAGAGAGAGAAAATAGTAAAAGAAAAAGAGATTTTTTGAACAGCCATTTGATTGCTGTGTTTTCAACAAGCCATGGACATTCCATTGGAGCCTTTGATTCACTGGTGACACAGCTTTCAGTGGGCTTTGTTGTAGGTGGTAATTGATCATATTTCACTCTCAAATGAAAGAAAAGACTGACAAAAAATCTAGTTATAAAACCTCTGACTAACAGGCAGCCAAGAAAGAGACATAAGTAAGCTAGTTTCCAAGGAATGAAATAAAGCACACAACGGATCCTGCTGTGTCCCAGGTTTAAAGAATTCTTGAGTTCTCATGTGTGCACTGTGCTATGCTGGCTGTTCCTTGTTATCTTTCCCAAAGGATTGTTCTTGACCTTACACAGGTTAGGGGATGAATGATAATGATGTGTCTGACATCTTCCAGACAAGGAGAAAGTCTTCCCCATGTGCTGCTTTGACTCAGATCATGTAACTGAGCTTGGGCATATTTTTCACATAACTTTGGAAACTGAGGACATACCTAGCTGGTCCTCAGAGGTTCTGCAACACTAGTTTCTATTCTGTCTGATCTCCAGGACATGAAACAGAGAAGCATCCTACACACCTAGCTTTGTCTGTAAATATTGCTGATGGGATTCATACTCCTCCTTCTGGTTGAAGGTTAGCAGAAAGTGCTCTAAAGGAAATTAACTTTGAAGGATGCAGGGATAGGTCATCATTTAGGCTATGGGCTGAAGGGTCCAAAATGTGAGGAACTCATTTTGCATCTTAAGCAAGCGGAGAAGGTGATTCGATCCTTCTGATGCAAAGAATCAGGGAGGGAATGAGGGATCCTTCCATGGAATACTGAATCGTAGTTGTGACCTATGTCCAGTAACCCCACTCCAGACTGTGACTTGAGACAAGTATATTTGTGTTTCTGGAACTCAGTTTTCTTACATGGGAACCGAGGACAAGAAAAACTGATATTTACTGATCTTTATAATGACCCTCTAGAGATTCACAGCTACTGTCCTCTTCCTACAGACACAAAAACTGAATCAACAGATGAGAAATGAAAGAAGCTACATTCAAACCCAGGCAAGCTGGATCCCTTTTCCATGTGCTAACACACTCAGTAAAGGATTATCCAATAGCACTTTCCGCATAGGGTTCTTGTGATAATTAAATGTTGAAAGCATAGAGCAAGCAGCACCCACCTCCTGACAAGTGCACAGCAAATGTAAACTCCCAAAATCACTCTTGTTCTCCAGTCATCGGGTCATACTGAGGACTCCAAATGGAAGAGAGTGAGAGAGTAGAGACAGGACAGAGGTAAGGGCAAGGTAGGGTGAGGATGACTTGGCTGTCTGTCCCAGCAGTTTCCTCTTTCTGCCCAAGCAGCAACAACAACACTTCTGGTATCCAAAAATGTACAATTTTATCTCTATATGGCATTGAATAAAGAAAGTCTGTGCTCACTTTGGGCCAGGAGAGCTGTGATCCCATCCAAGGCTTTTGAAGCTCCAAGCATAGGCAGGAAAATCTCTCTTGTGTTATAGTCTCCTTTCTACTTTCATGTCATTCCCCACACACACACACCCCGCAGACTCCAGATATTAGGGAAAACATAGGATATTTGTCTTTTTGAGTCTGGCTTGTTTTGCTTAACATGATGATCTCCAGTACCATTCATCTTCCTGCAAATGACATGATTTCATTTTTCTTTGTATAAGCCATGTCTTAATTCTCCTTTTTCCCCGTGGCATTTGGTATGATTCAGGTCTTTGCCAGCACTGTTGTTGCCTCTACCTGTATGGAGATCACTTTACCTGTGAAGCCCACATATAGAGCTCTATCATTTCCATTAATTATCATTACAAAAGTTAATCTGATTGAAAATGTTGAGTGGTACATTTTAAATATTTATTGGCATTAAAGTTAGAAATGATTTATGAGCATGAAGAAGAAAACAAGTATCACACATAGTCTCAGCACACACAGACAGTCGTTATTTTACCATGAATACTTTTTCTTTATCACCTCAGGATCACAATGGCATCACTGTTGTTTACTGGCTTGAATATATCATGAACAATTTTCTTCATCAAAAATGTTTTAACATCAGTAAATTTATTTCTAATACCTCTAAATCAAGATTCTTATTGACTGCCCAGTATTTTCTCCAGGTTTATACCATGATCAGTTCTCTATGAAGGAATATTCGGTGTCCAGTTTTTCATTGTCATTAACACTGCTGCAATAAACCTTCTTGCACAGTACAAAATACTTGAAAAAACAGCACAATCAAGTCAGTCTTTCTGTAGCAAAAGCCACATATATGCAGCTGCGGCATCAAGGTCACCTCTCTAGAGAGGATAGTAGCATCGACCTTACCTGTCCCCTACTGAAGTTGTGAAGCTCAACTAAGAAACGGTGTATGGAAGTCCTTTATAAACTCTAAGTGTGTGGGGTGTTTATTAGAGTATGTTCTTATTCTTTCACAACAATCCCATAAAATAAACACAGGAGATGTATCCTCAAGGCACATTGTACAGACAATTTTGCCAGATTTGAAGAAGTGAAGCCTTACTTTGAGGCTACTATATATTTATTTCTCTTTAGCACAACAAAGAATTGTGTGTTAGAAAAGTGGCCTTCCTGTACAAGAGTAAACTACCAGCTGGCAGCACATTCTATGTTTGGTGCATGTTAACTGTTTATGACCCTTCTAGAGGAGAACAGCCAACAATTGCATGGATGTGAGTACCATGCAGCTCCGAAGCCCCTCACTACCAATGTTAGTGACTCCATCTTCTACAGCTGATTAGTCACAATGACCACTTTCTGTTCCTTTCCTGACAGTCTCTCCTAAAAAGCACTTTAGATAACTCTGCTTGACTCAAAACAATAGGGCAGTGGTTTAGTTTTTTTCTTTTTTGGGGGAGGGGGACACTTTATGTCAAGTATAGAAGCTACAGTGACATTTCACATGAAAGCTACCATATCACTCAGGAGGATGAATTCTTGGCACTCCCTTTGGATGAATTCTTGGTTCGCCTTCTAAGAATCTAAGTTCATAGATTTTTTTGCTGCTGTTGGTAAGATAATACTATTAACATGTCAGCAGATAACTTCCTGGAGCAAGATTTTTTTATAGAATTTACCATTCGTATGAGAGATAACAGATACATTTTTTTAAACCTAACTTGAATCATACTTAATGCTATTTGTTAACATGTGAAAAGTCTTTTATGTGTTAAAGTAGTTGTTTTTACTAAAATAAATGATGTTCCAGAGCCAGATAGTCTATAGTGATTGTTTATATTCTGTCTGCTTTGTCTTTCCACAAAACTTTTTTAAAAAAAGGAACATAACCCTATTTTAAAATGTTGAGAAGAGTTTTTACTTTAAATCTCCATGAATTAAAAAGGCACAATTTGCTTCTTGGGCTCTTTCTCAACTCCTTGATCATTTTTATCTCTTCTGTACAGAATAGAAAGGGGAAGCCGGGCATGCATGGTGTTTATGTGCCAGATGTAACTTGCCTTCCCGGCATAAGGGGCCAGGGCTTGTTTTCTGTGTGAGGCAAGGAAGCACCTGCTATCTCGTGAGACAAGCCTGATCCAGGGGTATTGGCCAGGAAAGGGGTTCAGACCTTGCAGAGAGATACTGAAATTGCTCTTGCTTCCTTCCTTCCTAATTTTGTCTTATAGATATTCAACTATTTCCATAGGTTCATTCATTTCTACCTCCACAAATGCCCCCCTGTTTTACAACTGTGTACTCAACCAAAGAAAATGAATAAGAAAAACATTATAATAGTGGAAAAAATTCAAAACTGCCATATGTGAGGCCCATGGGAGTCCTTGATTAATTTTCATTTTTGTAGTTTAGTTCTGAGATTGACCTGTTTCAGTAAATGTGTGAATAAGTATAGTCATGAACTGATTTCCTTGTAGCTTTAGAAAAGAAGCAGCACCAGTTTCTTTCTTACCATGCTGGGTTCCTAGAAGTCAAGGAGAATAACTCCATGAGCCAGTGGTTCCAACAATCACCGCCAGACCTTTGTTACATAGCAGTTTCAAAACTGGGAATATCAATATATTTAAGCTTGTTGTAGGCAAAATTGTCCATTCTTATGTTTGTTTCTCTTGTCCTTTCATGGGTACATATTCTCCTACACACCTTGGATATTGCAATACTGATTCTGAAAAAAATTCAACTAACACTTACAAGGAGTAAGTAAGTAGTCAATGAATTTAGTTGAAAAAAAGCACCAGTATGGTAACTATACGAAAATGCTTGCAAAAATTCAAAATTGAAGAAATCACAATATGTTGGGAAAGACTAGGAGAGGTTACATATTTGATCAGAGAGGACTTGAGCCTTAGGCACGTAGGAAGGTTTGATGGGACACTGTAAGAAGGACAGGGAGCAGAAAGATGTGGCATTTGTGGAGTATAAGTTGACATAGGTAAGGAGCTTTGGTTGAATGGGTGTGTTAAGAAGATTGTGAGTCTGACTACAAAAGAGTTTTCTTGGAGGGGCAGTTGTGAAGTGAAGCCATGTTGGGAACTAGTTAGTTCAGTGAAGGAAAGCCAGAAAATTTGGACTTTGTTCCATGGGCACAAGAAATTCATTGAAATCTTTGGGCAGGAAACTGACATGAGAAAAGATTTCTTTGATGGCAATTAATGTGAATTTAATGACCAAGATGGGTATCAGGAGGCTCGTGTCCAGTCCAATGAGGAGGCCATGAGGCAAGTACACAGTGTTGCTTGTGACAATGGAGAAAGAGGAAGTGAATGTCCACTGGCAGGAGACTGGGGGAGCTATGGGATGCTTGGGTCCCCTGGGAAACCCCTAGTGGATAAAATTTTTCCCCTTTTCCTAAGAATTTC